TTTTTTTTTTTTTTTTTTGCCACCTTGTCTTGTGGGCCCCACCTCATCTCTTACAAATTTTTTTTGCCTTTGCCGAGACTTCCCGTTGCCTCCCCAACGTGGATCCTGTAGGTGGGCGGGAACTCAACCCCATTTTTTATTTATTTTGCCTCCAAAAATTCTCAAGTTTTTATATTACATATCAAATAAATGCAGTTTTGGATTAGATATTTCACTTGAGCCTTTTTCTTTTTTTTTTTGAAATAAATGAAAAGTGCAATGTTAAAGAGATATTTGGGTATCAAAAGCAACATCATGTACAGAATGCTAAATTTTTTCACAGAAAACTAATAACTTAGTATCAAGTTCATCCAATACAGTTTTAACATCTACTTTAAAATACATCATTTTTTGCTCATTTCCTTTCAGTGATTTGGCTATGTGTGGGTTTCGAATCTTTCGATTATATCTTGTATTTATATATCAAAGTATTGTGTTGTGTGATTCAATCACTATGTATTTGAAAGCAAATAATGACCACAAATAAAAATAAAAAGTAAAATTGGATGAAATGAAGTTATATTAATGTTAATAATTATGTGCAAATATCTTTTGTGGCTGCCGTTCATTGCTGTCATTGCCGTTGAGATGGTTTCCGTCATGCTATATATCTCCGATGCTTCAGAGAGACCAGAGACTTCTTCTCCTTGTTTTTGCACTTGAAATCGCCGCTTCTCCATGGAGTTAAAATCTTTTGATTCGGTTTTGGATTCTTGGGTACCGAGCATTTGGGTGTTTTCCTCTTGTTTGATGCGGACTAATGGTGTGTCAGATAGTACCAGTACGTCCTTCACCATTTCTTTTACAGGGGAAGGAGGCGACGGTGCTGGGGTTTTGCAAGGTTCTGAAACCAAGGGTTTAGAGGGGAAATGAGGGGTTTTGGTTTTGGAGGAATTTTGCCACTTTGGGTCTGTTTTGGTAGCGGCTGTCGTGGCTGTGGCGGAGCTAAAGCAGCAACCCATTTTTAGTGGTGGTGAATGGAGGTGAAGGAGAATCAAAGGGGGTTCTGGTGGTGGTGAAGAAATAATGGCGGAACAGCTACATTGGATGGATGGGGTTGGCTGTTTTGATTTTATTTGAAAATTTCAGTCTCTTAATCATTTAAGCATTCTAGCCTCTTTATGTTAATAATTATGGGCAAGTATTATAGCCTCTTAATCATTTAAGCATAAGGGTCTATCAATCCTCAATAACTAAACTTTTTCCATACCTCATATTGCCTTCCATAAAGCAACACATATTGAAGTGGAGAACCTTTAAACATAAAGTTGCAATGGGAGAAACAATGATAGTAAAAGGAGAAAAATTAAAAAAAAAAAACGGAAAAACCAACATTTTTATGTGAGCTTCATCAAATAAATAAATAAACAAATAAACATTTTTATGTGAGGAAGGGTAAAATCTGCCCAAATGTGCAATATTTATTATTTATTTATTTTGTCATCCATTCAATATTTTATTGAAGATCATTTTTGTTTTTTTTTCCTTTAGTCTCACATATTGAAGATTGTCTATTTGATAATTCCTATCTGATAATTCCTCTTTAGTTGATCATTATATCATGGCTAATATATATAAAATATTTAACTAATAAATACCTTGAAATCAGCTTCCTATTAATTAGAAAATTGAAGTACAACCTTTTAGTTCACCACCTTATAGACTTTTCATTGATTTTCTACATTATATAAGTACTAAATTTACTCATTCTTGTTTTTTTATAGAAATCAATATTAAGGGTAATTGGATGCACTAGGGTGGGACCTACAAAGCAAGGTGGCAAAAAAAAAAAAAGGGCCTAATCGGGTGTGACCGTTGGCACTTAACAGTCAACAAACACAGCCGTTAGCTTAATTGGACGGAGGGACGACAAGTGCATGCTTTTACATTGTAGAGGGACGACAAGTGATGCTTTTACATTGTAGAGGGACGACATGAAGCCAATTCATAGTAGAAGGTTTAGAATGCACTATTTTGGATAGTAGAGGGACGATAGATGGCCTTAACCCCTCCAAATTCTAACATTGTTAATCGAGCTCTTTTATGGGTATAAATAAGAAGGGCTTAATTTAATAAATCATCTATTAACTATTATCTTTTTTTCATTTTAGTCTAGATACTTTACTTTCTTTCATAGTCATCTATTAACTTTCAAAACTATTTCATTTTCGTCTACCTACGGTAACTCCGTTAACAAAGTTAACGAAATTCTACATATGGGAT